AAGAGTACATAGAGATAATATGCTCACTGCTGAAAGATAATTTGTTTTTTACTAGATTATTGCATTTATTGATTTCTTACGTAAAATATATAATAGATGATGCAGAGACATCGTGGACCTATCAAGATTTGAATTTTTCTAGGCATTAATATACACCTCAAACTTATAAATTTGTGCTACTAGCGTATGCACTAAATTTTTAGGTTATGTTCCATTTGTGAAGTCAGCGTGGTTTGATTTTGAGTTATTAATTAGTGCTTTTTTATTGTTTTATTGACGATTACATAATCTAGTAACTTTTACTGTGAGCCCCATAGCTGTTTGTCTATGATATTGCAATCTATGGTTTACCATGGTGCATCAGATGGTGCTCCTATTAGAAGTGCATGACAGTAATCTGTCATAGTGTTATCATTGAAACTCTGATTATTTCTGATTATCTTTATCTTTTGAACAATGATTTGTCAGCGATTGAAAATATGTTTGAATAATGTTCGCTCAATGTATATATATGTGATAAATGTGGAGGTGAGACGCATGGTTGTGTGAAACCGAGGCATAGAAATCATGTTATGACTCTTATTTCCTATGTATACTGAACAATTATTGAAATCTATATTTTGAAACAATCACTAGATAGATTTTGAATGATTAGAACAATAATTATTAATCATTAATTTGAATGACTTTGATCTGACATATGTACATTTAATGAATATGAAATCATATTAATTGAACTACAAAATTTATTAAAGTGATGCTGTGTATTTTCTCCTGTTTGACTAAATTGAATGTGTTTTTATATACAATATACTAATGTGATCACTTTCACAGGTAACATATTGTGAAATGTCGGAAGGGTGACGGTACAATGTACAGAGACTTTTATGGAATTATATCCTTACTGGATGGACTCTACATGGATAATACATGAGCTATAACTGTTGGACACGGAAATAATGATGATTATACTATATGGCAATTTGCAAATCATATAGTTGTCTGGAGTGGTGGTTTTTATATTGTGACGTGACGCTTTTCGAGCGCCGTCACAAGGGCGATAGCCCGGCCGAGGGAGCAAGGAGCCCTGGTGTTGCTCCTCGCGTGGAGAGAGCAACCCGCGAGACTCCACCATTTTTGCGCGTCGTTTGTATTGTAATTCCTGTTTTTGTACCGTAATACCGTTTTTGAATTGTAAGGCGAGACCCCGTGCGGGCGGCGTTGCGTGTTTTGTGCCTCAGGGCGAAGACAGCATCGCCAGGGAAGCCGGACACCGGGGGATCATCCGCAGGGGCCACGCGTTAGTGACCCCACGAAAAAGGTCAGGTACCGCGATTCCGTCGCCTCCGCCATCCAAGCCCTATCTGACTCCGCTTTGGTTTCAGCCACAAAGTCAAAAGCAACACAAAGACACGCAGCAGCGGACCTCGCCCGGCTGCAGACGGCTTCGAGGACCCCGAAGATGCTGCACCCGGAAGGACCGGAGTATGGCCCGGCCAGCCTAACCAGTCTCTTCCGGGAACATCGACTTACCGACACGTTATCAGCCGAAAGACTTGAGGAAACCACAGTGAGCGGAAGGGGGCGCCCTGGATGAACTGTGGGCGGTTCTCAGGGGCCCCCCTTTTCGGAAAATCGGCAGGATGCGCAGGAAGGCGACGCGAATCTGGAAGGACCTAGAGGCAGAGCCGAGAAGAGTCACTGTTCGGTGTGACACAAGTGCGCGAGGACGACATCAGGGACTCAGCCCGACGACACCGAAGACGCCAAGGACGTCCAATCGTTGTAAGCCGCCTCTCGGGTAGCCGTAGAGTTCCGTCCGGTGATGGCTGGTAGCGTGAGTTCGTTTAATATGTAGTGTCTCTCACATTAACCGTAGTGTTTGATATCGTGAGCGCTCAATTACGCTCAATTACCGCATGTCCAGCCGGCCCCGGATATCGCGTAACAGTCTCTCTGTCTTGTGGGAATTCAGCGCCGACAGTCTTTTCTCGTTGCCGTTTCGTTACCGTTCGTTTAGTTATCGTACCGTCCTGCCGTTACCGTCTTTTAAAAGAAAAGAAAAACCGATTGCTACCGTTTTCTTGCGATACCGCTCCGTTACCGTTTGCCGCGTTATCACCGTACCGGAAGTACCGTGAATGTCTGCGGGCGGATTTTGATCCGGGAACGTTCTCCGCGAGATTGCGGTTACCGCCAAGTTCGCGTCTCGGCGAGAAACGGGAAAGCCCGCGAAAAATAGCCGTTCCGCGACATCTCAGTCCTGGCCGTTAGGCTCCCGTCGCTTAAAGTCTGTTTATTTGGCCTTCACCGGCCGTATCGAATGATCAGAGTATAAGTCCCGTGTTTACCGGATAGAGTCGGATCAGCGGCGAACTATCGTGATCGCATCTCCGTGATTTCGCGTATTTGTCTAACTTTATTCTTGTTATCGAGTAATTGGGCGAACGGCCCTGCTACCGCATTGAACCGTCTCCGCCGTATCGGCTCAGGCCGAACGCTGCACATCTTTACCCTTGTAAGCCAAATTATGGAAATACATTATTGTTAACTATTAAGTATTGAGTTGTCCTTGTGTTCGCCTCTCACTCAGATATCTACGTTAAGTAAAAGAACTGCGCCCCTCTGCCATACTGAGCGGGGAGCGGCCGAGCAAATTTTGAGAACTATTAAAGTTACCGATACCGCGGTGCGATTATTCGCACCTGGCGCCCATTTCCGGTTACCGTTATCGCGTGAGTTACCTTGCTCCCGAATTGTGTGGAGTACCGCGAGTTACCGAATCGTGCAGTTATTGCCGATTTCGCGAGTTACCTTGCTCCCGACGAGCGTGGAGTACCGCGAGTTACCGAATTAAGCATCTGCTTCTGATACCGTAAGTTACCGAGTCGAGCAGTTATTGCCGATGCCTCGAGTACCGATTTCCATTGGGCGTGCTCCCTCGGATCTGGCGTGATTCCGAGGCTAGTTCACGTCGCAATATTAAGAGTAAACTAGTGATATTTTAGCCTAATTGAATGTAGCTTATCTATCCTGTCAATCTGATCGTATTGTGTTACTAGTAATATGATTTGTGGGATAATACTTTGAAACAAATCATTTATTGCTCACTAGAGCGATTTACTCGCTTGAACTTTAATGATATTATTGAACTGCACCAGATTTATACTGATTATAAACTATAATTTGTAATTTATAATAAGTTGTAATTTATAATAAACTGTAATTTATAATAAGTTCCGATACTACTATGTGATATATAAGAATCAGAGATATTTAATATATTCATTGTGATTGATTTAAATCTAAATTAAACTTAAATAATGTTCATTATATTATACGCAATGGTGTGATTGATATGTGTGTAGTTTCATTAGAACTTTGTGTATTTAGCAATTTACTGCCTTACGAGTGATGTATACAGCGGATATATGTATTGAGTGGAGAATAAATTACCAGTGGTGAGCCAGTGATAGGAAAACTATAGAATAAAATTTTCTTTATTTTGGATTACAAAGTTCGTAATTATTGGATATTATAAATAATTGTTATAAACATTAAATGATTATGCGGTGTTTGTTATCTTCAACTGATGACAGCACCTAAAAACATAAAGAAAGAATATTAGTAAATTGGGGAACTTCTATTTAACCTAACGTGTTAAAAGTTGGAGCGATAATAATTATTCTGATAATTAAATTTTGAATATTAAAAGTGATTATTGGCAATTTATACTAATCTATGTAGTGTATAGTTTACTTTTTTGATTCTGAACTGTTTCTTACTGTGTGAGATTTATTGATTATTGTTCCTTGGTTCTATTGTCAAGAATAGTATTAAGGGATATACCAGGAACAATTTATAATACTAAATTCCGCCAAGAGAAGGAAACTCTTGTAAATAAAACCAACGCAAAACTTATGGACATGGACAAATATATGGAATCAAACGTCTCGGCGTCGGATACCGAGAACCGGTACGTGGGGGATATCGTCCCTGTTCCCCACGGGTCGTCATTATGCCAAGGGCTGACCTCTGCGTCCATGGCGAGCGCGGAGTGTCGACCGATTATCGCCAGTATGGAAAAACTGAGTTTCTCGATAACCCTTATTCCTTTGAGAGGGCAAGGGAAGTCTTCGGGAGGCGATGGTGAAGCTGGACCATCAGGGATTCGTGAGACTGTTCTGCTCGTCTCGGAGGATGAAAATAACCCTATTTCTATCTGTAGAACTGACTATTCTGATGATGAGATGGTTATTTCTGGAGGCTCCTCGGGTTCTCTAAAACAGAAACGTAAAGAAAAAATTAATATTAGTAGTAGGAAAAGGAAAAAGAAAAATTTCTCCCCTAAAGAAGATGAAATAGATGAAAATAGATACGCGGTACATTTCACGGTTAATAACAAAAAAAAGATAGATGAAGAAATGGCAGGATTGGCCCTTGAACACGCTGCCCAGTTAAGCTTTAAAATAAGAGAAATGACGAATCAAATTGATTCCATAATAATTAGATCCACGGGCATCAAAGGAACTTTTAGTGGACAGATTAAGGTATTATTAGAAGTGATCCGTAGAACGGGTGATCTTTTGTCACTAAAGGCCTCCTCCAAAGAAGATCCTGAATACTGGAGGGCCCGTTTTTATGCTGCAGAAAAATCTGCTAATGACAATAAGATTAAGGCGGACTTCTTGGAAGTAGAGCTTAAAGAAGCTAAGAGGAGAGAATTAATTAAGGACACATATAATTTTGAATTAAATAACGACAAATTACCTGTGTTAACGGATGGCGGTGCTGAGGTAAGTGATAGTTTATCGGCTGTTACTCCCTCCATCACGGATAGACTCAGAAGTTCTTCGAATAAACATAAGTCTACAGTAAGTGAAGTGAAGTTTGACAGGGGAAAAACTCCATATGTCAGAAGTGATAAGTGTGAGGATCCCTATGGTCGTGTGGAGCTGGATCTCGCGATCATCCGCTCTCTTGACAGGCTGGGGGAGGGGATGACTCAGCTTATCCAGGAGACTAGGCTCCTTAGAGATGATCTCAATTCCGGAGGATCCAAAGTCGATGCTTTTCTCGTTCCCGGACCTTCTTCAGGTATTCCTGAAAAACGGAAAGGTAAGAATAAGAAGTTAAATACGACAAATCTAAATTTGAGTGGTGATAAAACTTATGTAAAGGCTTTTGGTTCACGAGTAGCCCACGAGGATGACAATATTAATCGGTCTTGTAAAAAGTCTGCTGGCAGAAGTGAGTTGTCTCTGGTTAATGTCGGTACTAAACCTGTAAACATATATGGTAATACTTTAACTAAAACAATTAACGATGAAAATAGAATTCTTAAAAGAAGTGATATTAAAAATATGAGTGAGGAAGAGATTTTTGATAATTTTATTGAGGTAGATAATAAAAAAGAAATTGAGTGGTCAGTTCCGAGAAATAGAAAGAGTATTCGTAAAAAGAAAAGACTAAAATCCACTCCTAACAAAGACAGTACACAATCAGACACAAATCCAGAATATGATCTTAGTAATGACAATTATGTTAATTCTAAAAGAAATGCGGATTATGGTGTTGCTAGAAAAAATAACGTTAGTAATATTAAAAGTAAACCTATCGGTAACTTTAAAGATAAGGTTGCAAATTTAAAGAGGAAAGTTCCGCGTACTTCCGCCATCTCAATTTTATCTGAAAGTGCTGATATAACTTATTCTGAAATACTGCGTATGGCAAGAGAAAATATTTCATTGTCAGAATTGAACATTTGTGATACAAAAATTAAGAGGTCCATTACGGGTGGAATCCTTATAGAAATACCTGGGGAAGAATCTGATCTAAAAGCGGACATGTTGTTATCCAGATTGAGGCATCTATTTAAAGATACTAATGGTGTTAAGATTAGGAAACCTATTAAAAATTCACAGTTAAAGTTAATGGGATTGGATGACTCAGTTTCTACATCAGAAATATGTTCGATACTTGCTGATATTGGTAAGTGTTCGACGGATAGTATTTCCTGTAGCCCAGTCAGATTCGTCCGTGGTGGTCTTGGCGTTGCGTATGTACGCTGTCCAATCGCTGCGGCAGTAGGCATTCTTGAGGCTACAAGAATAAATATTGGATGGACAACGGTGAGAGTTGAACCGATGGACCCGAAGCCATTGCAATGCTTCAGATGCTTGGCTGTTGGTCATACCTTTCAAAGATGCCCAGAATCCAAGGACAGGAGGAACTGCTGTTATAGATGCGGAGAATTTACTCACAGGGCCTCTGAGTGCAGGAACAGAATTAAATGTCCTGCCTGTGTAGATAGGGGCCTAAAGGATGATCATTTGGCCGGTACATTAGCGTGTAAGCCTATCCCTCCTAGGAAAACATTAATTTTTAATGTAAATAAAGATAATGATTGTACTCATTTAAATACCTTACCTGTAATACATACCGAGGAACGGAGGTCTCTGGTCACGGTGGAGTCATCCGCCTGCGAGATGGAAACGGATAATTTAAATGGTTAACTTACTACTGTGTAATGTAAACCACTCGAAACCAGCGTGTTACGTCCTGTTTAGGTTCCGCGGTTTATTGGACTGGGAGTATGGAAAATGGAGGAGAAAAATTAATAGAAGGGGGGAACAGGCCGCCCTAAGGTGAGTAATATAATTATTATTAATAATATATATATGTGTTTTTAGTGCCTAAGTGTCAACAAGCGGGGCCGAGCGGAAACCTGTACGCTTAGTTAACGCGAAGGGCGCTATGAGAGGTCCCTTTTTAAACAGGACGTTAATCGCGCAGGGCGCTTGTGAAAATGAAGGGCCCTGGTTGATCCGGTGCGGTCATTGATCGTACAGGGTGACAATAGGTAAGTAAGAACCCTGGTTGATCTGCCGCTAATATGATAAGGTAAGTATATTTATTTTAATTTATAATTATAAGTATGGTAGCATGGCGTTTTATTTTTGTTTCGTGATAATCATTTAATTAATTTATTATTTTTTTGTTTCAGCTCAGGACTGTTGGAGGTAGTAGAAGATGGCGATTGGGAAACAATAACCTATGGATAAGAAGCAGTTTTACAGTTTTTATTCATTGTAGAATAAAAAAAAATAAAAAAAAAGAAAAAGATACAAGATATTAGATATAGAACCTTAATCTAGAGAAAAAGAAATAAAAGAAAAGAAAAGTACAATAGTTTTGTTGCATTAGGAAAATAACATAATTAAAGATTAACAAATATAATAATAAAAAAAATAAACAAAATACTTTGGTTAAAATATCACTATTAGGTAATAGATTCTTTTATTAATAACTTAATCTATGGTAATCAAGAGTGGTTGCGGAACTAATTTGAAGCGGAAAAAGACAACCTCGTTTGATATAATTCGAGGGAGAACCTTTATAAATTTGTGCTCTAAGACCACGGTAGACGCTTGAGAAGAAGCATCTGAGTCGTATTCTAACTCGAGTGATGGAGGTTCATCTGGTTTAGAGAGAGAGCTCTGCTCAAAAATGGCGGCTTTAGAACCGACCGTTAAATTCCCTAGGGAATTATCCCTATTAAGAGCTGCGAGCAGCGATTCTTGCCCTAATTCGGACGTAAAATGTTCTATCTCCGAAGTATATGGAGGACTAAACTGGAATTCGAAGTCTTCATAGTGATTTATTTCTTCCCTTTTAGTTGGAATGAGAAATTCCAATATAGACCGTTGTGAAAAATCGGGTTCAGAAAGCAGCCCGTATCTTAATCGTTTCAATTGGACAGCCTTCCCCGAGCGTCGGGAGCGCGACATCCAAGAATATCCATTGTAGTCAATAAGGAATCCACGTTAATTAATTTGAATCTGATACCATTTGTTAGTTATATCTTGTTAATTTATTAATACCTATTTCTTTTATTTGTTTCAGGAAGAGCTGGCGGACGTCCAACTGAAGATCATCGTAAGAAAACGCGGATGAGGTAAGTATCAATTTAATTGTTATTGTTTATATACTAATCTTTATTTATTTTTATTTTAGGTACTACTACGATGGAGTCCCAGGTAGGTATATTGTTTATTGATGGTCATTAACCATTTATTATATTTGTTTCAGGTCCAAATCTTCGGAGGAACCAAATCTTATCGCTTCCAGATAAGTATAGGATAATTATGAAATAAAGTTAATTAATAATGTTTTATTTACGAAGTTAATAAATTATTTAATTGTTTAGACTACCCTTGTGAAGTTTATTAATAGTTGACTCTAGATTGATTATTAGTTTCCTTGATTTTTCATTAATAACCGTCTAGGGAAAATCTAGTAATTTCCTAGAGAGATTGGTTATTAAGCGATATCTCAGTTATAAATAATAGATTTGATATTTAACACAGATGAGAAGATTACTGAATGTTTATTGAAGAAATAGTATAGTTAGTTAATATAAAATTTATTGTTAAACATAGATTTATTAATATTTTCATTTGCTGCGAATTAGGCCGCGGTCCGAATCGTGTTTTCAGCACTACTAACGCTCACGGCATTAATGGTCGGTCCGAATGAGAAAGCACGCTATTGATAGTTCGTTTCGGACCAGTCATAAGCTCGTAAATTTGTTACAGTAAAAAACATAACCTGAAAGACAAATGGATAGTGTTCTGTGTGCATGTATCAAATAGAAAAATAAAAAAAAAAGAAAAATGGAACTAAATGAAAAAATAACATTGCTGCAGTTTATTGAATTTTCTTTTGAAAGCGAGGATGAAGATGATGACGACTTGGAATTTGTAATGAATATGTCTTCAAGTAGTGACGAGAACGAAGAAGAAGTAAGAAACCGTATCACTATTGTAGACTTGATTCTAAATACAAAAAAAAGTGAAATGCAAATTAGACCTCGCATCAAAGACTATGTGGAAAAAATTATTCTCAATTACACCGCTGAGGAATTTAAATCGCATTTTAGGTATGGCTGACCATTGTTTAAAGAAACATTGTAGTATCATAAAAATTTTCAGTTTAAAGTAATTGTTAATATTTACATTCTGAAATTTCAAATTTCCTTTATTTACAGATTGTGGCCTACAACTTTTGAATTTCTATTGGAATTAATAGGACCTACGTTAAGCGCCACTAAATCAATTAGTGGCAGAAAACCTTTGGCAGCGCAAAAACAACTTCTAATAGCTTTGTGGATGATGGCAACACCAGACTCCTACAGGTATAGTAACATCTTAATTATTTGTCAAAACTATAAGCTTTTTTATTTGCTTGTCTCTGGCTTATAGGTCTGTGTGTGTAAAATTTAATATAGGAAAGGCTACAGCAATTCGTACTATGAGAAAAGTTACTTATGCTTTGCACATTCTCGCTCCGCGATTTATTCAGTGGCCTCAAGGTGAAAGAGCAAATAAAGTGATGGAAGAATTTGAAAAAGTTAGTGCATTTCCTAAGATTATAGGAGCCATCGATGGCACTCACATTCGCATAAAAGCTCCACTGGAAGATAAACAATCATATGTGAACCGCAAAGGATATCATTCAATCCATGTGCAAGTAAGAATTTTAAAAATGTCTTTAAGTGATTGGAAGTTCTTATCGTTTAATAATTTGTATTTCACTTTTTTAGGCAGTTTGCACCTCAAAATTGCTTTTTACAAGTGTTTTAGCTGGGAATGTTGGATCAGTGCATGATGCACGTGTTTTTCGGCTCTCTCCTGTCAGACAATATATTACAAATCCACAAATTTATTTTCCTAATGATTCACACATTATTGGAGATGTTGCCTATGGTGTTCATCCTCATATCATGGTGCCTTTTAAAGATAATGGGCATTTAACAGTTAGACAGAAAAATTTTAATTTTTGTTTGTCTTCAGCGAGAATGGCAATTGAGAGAACATTTGGGTTGTGGAAAGGACGATGGAGAAGCATTCTTGATTGTTTGCCTATGATCATCTTAGAAAAAATTCCTGAATACTTATTAGCTACTTGTGTACTACATAATATTTGTATATTAAAAGGAGATTTGATAGATTTTGAGCAAACACATGAAGAAGATGTATCCAGTGAAGCATTAATATCTGATAGAATGGAGGACGGCAATACTAAACGACAAAGAATTATGAATAGTTTGATAATGAGATACCATTGATATTTTCAATCTTATTTAATGTTTCATTGATTGATTAATTAATGTTTTAGTGATAGTTATTTCATTATTTTTGCAGCAAATTATATGATGATTATATGATATGATTAATATTTTTATTGCAAATTATTTTTATCAAATTTATTTTTGTGAGCGCGTATGTTTAAGATTGAATAGAAATAACCTTATTATTTTTGCTATAGATTGTATTAAATATTATATAAATAAATGTCTTATACCAATTTTTGTGTATTTTAGTAATACAAATCTAAATTTTTATTAATTATCGCTTATTAGAATGATAAAAATAAATCAAATTTTAATATTGTAAACAATATTTATTTTCTACACTAATTTATAAAATATAATATCACATTGGTAGAAGAATAAATATCATAGCTTATTATTATTTAACTAGAAGCTGAAAATAATAGTGATGTATCTATATAAACTTAAATAGTTATACATTAAATAAAAAAATATTTATCTTATTTTCACAAAAAAAAATTGATTTCACATATTACGCCCATATTGACATTTTCTAAGTTTAAAATGAGCTTTAATATAAAAATTAAAAAACATAAAATTATATTATTAATACAGTATCACTAAAATAAAACAAGTGATGAGATTAATAAGAATAACTGTAATATATTATTCCAAAGAATGCTCATCAGGATAGGCAAATCTTTAAGCTATTAATTCCAAAGCTAACTTTAACTTTTATATTTAAAAAAATAATATTTAATTTATTAATTAATAGTCAATTCATAGACTAGAAAATCTTCAGTTATAATTAGACAAACTATTATGTATGCAAATAATAAAATGAAAAAGATAATAGATATTCAAGTAAACAATTTTTCTTAAGCTCTATAAGACTACCAAAATTACTACATTGCAGGTACAGAGAGTATCCATGAAAAATAAAAATAATAGAACTCTTGGAAATAAAAACTACACAAATCGCATTAAAATACTAAAGAAAACAGTTGTCCAATTATTTCTTGGTGATAGCTTCAAACAACTTCTGCATTATTTTAATTTTTTCCTGATGCTGTCTTTCTCGTTGATCTTTTAAGTCCTGAAACAATGCTTCTTTGGCTTGCCTTTTTTTCTCCCTTTCTGCTCTTTCTTCTTTCATATCTAAGATAAAGTTGTTTATAATAGTCTCAATCTTCCGTTTATTGGATTTCCCTTCATTATTTTTACAATTTTTTGAAGAAGATTCCAGTAGGATTGCTTCTTCATTCGATGTAGATGGTCCAGCTTCAGTGGCAATAGCTTTGGGATTTGCCCATCCTGATTTCCCAAAAATTTCGTGCATTCTCTGGAAGAAAACAGAAATATTTTTCAATAAGTTTTAGTCTAATATGATTGAGAAGTATGAAATTTATAATATATTTATTTACTTTTCATATAAATACTTACTTGAAAATATGGCCATGTTTTTCTGTCATTTCCTGATACTGAATTATAATCCAATATTTTTTTGTATGTCTTTTTCAAACCATTTAATTTTGATTGGCATTGTGGTCCAGTCATTGTATATTCAATATTTGTTTTCCTCATATTATCAGCAATGGCTTCCCAAATTTTATTATGACGTTTTGTGCCTGCTGAAAATTCTTCTTTCCATTCCTCATATTTATCGAGCAGTAGATATACGCACTTGGATGACCATATAAACAATGATTTATCATTTTCTGGAATTATATAAAAATTTTTATGTATAAAGAAGACTTGGAATGAATATAAGAATCATATTGTAGGGGAGCCATTATATTCTTTAGTCATACTCACTTTGATCTTTAGGATTATTATCAAATTCTTGTGGCTCTGGAGATGAAACGTAAGATGCACTGCTTGCAGTTCTTACAGAATCAGTCTCATCGTTTTCATCAATCGAAATTTGACTTTCTTGACTGATAACATTTTCGTTTCTTTTTCTATAAATATTCTTAATAAGACTTGTCATATAATTCAGATCTGGTAATACAAAAAAAAAGTTCCTTCTCATCAGCATTAATCAACATAAATCATAGTCATTGACATCAAGCATCAATTATTTGATGTCAATGATCAGAGCTAATTAGTATTAGTAATAGCTATTAGTAGAGCTAATTATCCATACAGCACGAATATCGAAAAGTAGACATCCCGAAGATATCTTTGAGATATGATATCTTCTAAAGGGTTAAGTATAATTTTATTATTAAAATACAAAAATTTATTTGTTTCCTTACCTTTAGTAGCCTTTGCAGCATCTTGTGGCGAAAGTTTTAAGGTCACAGTTTCACCTGTATCTTCTATAAAGACAGGGACGGAGATTAACTGATTTGACATTGTTTCTAACGCGACGACTAATAAATAAATTAATGTGTAGCACGTGTAGCATGTCTGACGTCACACAACCATAATCAGCCATGATGCTCACAGTGCCTCACCTTTCAACTAGGGGCACCGTGAGCACTGTGCGCGTCATAAAACTATGACGTGCTATGATGTCATTATGTCCACGAAGGCACTGCGAGCGTGAATTGGATCGATCGTTACGTGTACTGATAGCGCTGTGAACGTAAATCGGACCGCGGCCTTAGATTGTTACGCGGGAAGCAGAAAGAGTGACTAGAGAGCTTTTGTCGATATTTGCATAAATTAGCTATTTAATTATTTAAATAATATTATTATTCATTTAATAAATTCATCGTTCTCTTAGACATAGCAGAAGGAAAGCGAGATTTTAGTTATAAGCGATATTTTATAAAGTTAAATTTAACGGCGTTGGTAATCATTAATAATTATACAGTTCCATGTAATAAATTAGTTAAGAAATAAATAAATTAAACTGGAGTTAAGATTTATTAATTAAATTGTTATCGGCATGTATAGTCAATAGTTGTTAAAGCATTTGTGCATATAGTGATATAGTAAAAGTGTTTTAATTAATAATAAATCGATAATGTGTATATAGATTATTATAAAGAGAGAGATGGTGAGCACAGTAATTGTGACAACGCCCTATGGGAGGCGCTAAGGATGGTGAGTTTTAGAACGCTCTATGAGAAGCGCTCGAAGAGGTGAGTTTTAGAACGCTCTATGAGAAGCGCTCAAGGAAATGAGTTTTAGAACGCTCTATGGGAAGCGCTCAAGGAGGGGAGGGAAAGGCTCAACTGTTACACGTTATCAACTCAATTATTAATTAATATTATAATTATAATTTATGAAATGTAATATTTCGGTTACTAGAATTAGTTGACTAGGAATGCAGTGATAAAAGAATAATTGTTATTCGGAATTGCGCGAGAGTGAAACTGCTTTGCATAATTGTTTATTAATTATCATATAAGTAGTCCGTTAATTCAATGTGTAATAATTATTAATAACATTTATTAAACTTAAGCACTTCTGATTTGTTTAGTTAATTCAAACTTGCGTTATTTATTACTACTTTTTGATTGAAAGAAAGTTAATTAAGAAAAGCACCCGCTGAAGCTATTATTTAAACAATCTAAAGCGTTAGTGTGATAGTTGTTAGAAATTGATATTATAAATAATATTTTATGCGACTTACTTTGGTTGCAGTATTTGGATTACTGTTAGACCTTTTTGTTATTAACAATCCTTTGGCGTAGTTGATCGGTGGAGACTTGTGATTGTAATAATTTGTTTAATGTTTATTTAACACCACTCACTTATTGTTCAAAGGCACTGAGGCTCACTTTTATTTTATATACTTATACAATCTTTTATTAATGTGTAACAATTAAGAGGCGGAAGGCCAACTCTCACGTGGTGACTGATTTATAGGTTAAGTTGTTCTCTAAGTCTCGTTCTCTATATGCCACCGTTAGGATATCGTAGAAGCAGTCTAAGTAGTCGTCTAAGTGTCTGGTCTGGGCGATGATGGTCGCTTATATAGCGGCTATCCCTTCTCTCTTGTCTTGCGCATTGGACATCGTATGATCCATCGCGTGATCTGCACATTCTTTTCGGATGAGATCATTGAGTCACACCTGTATTTACATTCGTACAGTCTGAGATGAAAGTTAGGTTAGGTTACAGGTGCTGCTAAAAGCTTTTAGTTCTGGTTACTTTTCGTTGTCACTAGCAGTCGACCATAGATTAGTCTAACAGTGAAATCGTGCTACATGTTATTTCCAGCTTCGGATTTTTATCGTTTAATTTTATATTCCGGTGCGACGGATCGTTGTTTCTCTTCCTTATCTAACTTATTAACATTATTAGTGATTTGTTTAAACAATTAAATATAGTGCCGTAGTTAGTACAATTTTGTAATTAACTTATGATAGAGATACTTATTTATTATTGATATCGTTATTGTTATAGTTTTACTGAATGTTTATTTATAATTATAAAAGGCAAAGTTTAAAATTTTACCGTGTATACCAGAGTAAGAAAAATGTAGAGAGTAGAGTATGGTGACTTTAGGTGGAGTCGCCATACGTAACAAGCGCAGGATAACTTGTGTCAATTAATGCACGAGTATAATGCGGGCATCGCGGTAGTAACGGAGCCGCATTCAATTCCGGAGGGCGATGATAGGTGGGTAAGATCCATGGACGATCCTCCTCTATCCGCTATATTTTGGCGTAGTATTTCGGGTAAATTTTTACCAATGCAACCACTGAAATGTGGTAATGGTTTTTGTATTGTTAGATGGAATTCCTTGATAATCTTTAGTTGTTACTCTTCACGTAACATATCAAATTTGGCTTTTAATATTTTTCTCGATGATATTTCTCTATTAATAAATAAATATAAACAGTTTCCGATATTAGTTATTGGAGATTTTAACGCCCGTCATGCTGAATGGGATCCAAAAAAACTGACAGCCGCGGTTTATTATTAGGTAATTGGATGGAGGAGGTTAGTCTTTACCTTATAAATAAAGACCATGTTAATACGTGCGTGAGATGGCAGGGTGAATCGGTGATAGACTTGGTACTTGCCAACATAAAGGCAAGAAATTTAATCATGAATTGCCTTTTGGAATCTAGAACTGTCACCCTGTCAGATCATAGACTGATTCGACTGGTCATTGGAGCACCTGACGCTGGTAAAAAATTTAAAACCATAAATAAAAAATTCCCTAGATGGAAATATCACAAATTAGACCTGAACATGTTAATGACTGGGACTATTGGCGCGGTTTGGTCCTTTGATCTCTCGAATATAACTACTCCTCATAATTTTGTTCAATGGTTGGGGAAGCTTTAAAGGGGATCTCCGATCTGTCAATGCCAAGAAATAAGGGATATTGTAGAAAGTCCTCGTATTGGTGGAATAAGGAAGTGGCGACCTCTCGCGTGATTGTGGGGAAGGCACGGCGTACTCTTTCCCGGGTCAAAAAAAGGGGTGACCCTGCTGAAACAAAAATAGAATATAGAAATTACAGATTATGTCTTCGAGAATATAGATTAATGATTATTAAAGCTAAAAGAAATGCGTGGAATGAATTGTTTAGCGATATAAATAGCAATCCGTGGGGTCTTCCCTATAAAATAGTTCTGAAAAAGCTTAGACCGGTATCTCACTCAGTCTGTGAGACGCTTTCTCATTCGTTGATAATAAATATTGTTAATGCTCTCTTCCCGGACGATCCTAACGAACATAATTAAGTTGAATGTCATTTTGTTTGGCAAGATAATTTTTCTGTCACCTTGGAAGAATTGAAAGGAGCCTTTAAAAGGTTGCAAGGTAATCGGAAGGCTCCTGGGTCGGATGGTGTCTTGGGAGGGGTCATTTCGGGTAGCTCGGCGTGCTTCATAGAGGTGTGGCGGACTTGCTTCAGCGCGTGTCTCAGGGAGGGCGTCTTTCCGGCAGTTTGGAAGACTGCCAAATTAGTTCTCATAAAAAAGAAAGATGGAGATCCTTCACATCCTGGAATCTATAGGCCAATATGCCTTTTGGATGAGTCTTCCAAGCTGTTGGAAAGAATAATCGCTTCTAGAATAGGTGAGCATCTACAGTCGACTGGTTTCCTCTCTGATAATCAATTTGGTTTCAGAGAGGGGCGGTCGACCGTTGATGCAATCCTGAAACTTAGACGAATTGTCAGTGGAGAGGTTGATTTTGGTAAAATTGTGGTGGCTGTAGCTTTTGATATTAAAAACGCGTTTAATACATTACCTTGGTGCGTTATTCGCTCGGCCATGATCTCCATGGAGTTCCCGAGCTACCTCTGTAGGATCGTTTCTGCTTATTTATCTGAAAGAAGTCTTATTTACACAGATTCAGAGGGTAAAATGCGTAAACGGGGGGTGTTCCGTGGTGTTCCGCAGGGTTCGGTCCTCGGGCCGACTCTGTGGAATATTGGGTACAATAGCGTGCTCAACTTGGCCCTTCCGGCTGGTTGTAGCTTGATTGGCTATGCGGATGATACCATTTTGATCGTCTCGGGAGAGAGTATGGAGAAGGCTTCTCACCTTGCGATGGTTGCATCGGGTTTTGTGATACGTGAGATCGAAAGACTCGGACTAGAGATTTCGCTACATAAGACGGAGGCGATGGTGTTTCCGACCTCTGCAATTGGGTGTAAAACTTATAAATTAATAATAAAAGATAAAGAGATTTTGGAGGCCCCGACCATGAAATATTTAGGTATATTACTGGACGGGGACTGAAAGTTTACTAACTATTTTGAAAGATTATATAATAAAGTTAATAAAACTGTTGGATATCTTAGAGGAATTATGCCCAATTGCAGGGGTCCGAACGAGAGGAATAGAAGACTTTATCTTAACGTTATTCTTTCCATAATTCTCTATGGAGCCCCCCGTCTGGTCGATCTCTTTTGCGGAAAATCGAAGAGCAAAAATTTTAATGGATAGACTTCTACGTAGAATAACACAAAGAGTATGTTACGCATACCGTACTGTATCAGTTGTAGCGGCTTCGATTATCTCTGGAACTCCACCGTTGGATATCCAAGCACGTAGACTGACGGTAATGTACTATCGAAATCGATCTGCTGTAGAGGACAGAGATGAGATATCCCCTAGGATAAGAATGAATTGGCTACTAGAAGCTAAAGATCAGGCATTGCAGGATTGGAGATTGAGGTTATTGGAAATGAATGACTCACCCTAGTTCAAGACTACGAGAGGCACTTGTGTGTAGATTGAAAGATTGGATCAATAGAAAACATGGCTGGATCACATACCACATGACCCAGTTTTTAACGGGTCATGGCTGTTTCAATGTATTTTTGCATAGAATTAAAAAATCAAATACACCGGAGTGTTATAATTGTTTAAACAAAATGGATACTGCACAACACAATCTGCAATTCTGCAATGCCTGGAGTACGGAAAGAGCTGAATTGACAGGAAGCATTGGGACTGATTTAGATCTTTCGTCTGTTATTGATTCTATTCTGGAAAACATAGAAAAATGGAAGGCTTTCTCTTCTTTCTGTACACGGGTTTTATCCCGTAAAGACGCGGCGGAAAAAGAAAGACAGGCTGCGTTTAAAACCCGGTTTGGTGCAATAGTCCATCTGGATTCTGATACCTCAAATTAAAAATAAATATACTGTTTTAGTTGTTTTATTTGGACTATACATACATGGTAATTTTCTGTATTTTAATGGGGGGCAACTCGAAAGCCTTTTTCAATTAGATGTAGGGGTTGCCAATTATATGTTTGGTGTTGCGTCAGCTGAGTTATTTTTATCTTTGTTAAGTATAGATTAATTAGTTGATTAGTAAGTTCTTTACTTACTTTATTAGTAAATCCCGATTTTTTGTTTAGAACCCTTCTTGGGGCAGTCCTGGGGGAGAAGCAGAGATATGCTCTGGTTAGTAAGCCTGCTTCTCTTCCACTATGGGCCTGTTAGGCATGAGGTGAGTTTTTAGCTGGTAGGCGGTCGAGATGCGTGGATGGTTCTGCTTGGCCAATGGATTCGTCATCTCTGTCCTTCCCCTTAGCATCGGACATTTCCGTGCCGCCTGGAATGTTGGATGTGGGTCAGGCCGAGAGTATGGAGAATTCACTATTGGTTAGGAACAGAAAGTTTTCCAGAAGCAAGTCTCGGTTGAATCCAGCACTACCCTGGGCCGGGCCAGGGTGTCTTTTAAAGATTTTCTCATTTACTAAAAAAAAAAAAAGGTTAGGTTAGGTTAGCCCCAGCTCGATGGGGACTACGAGCTCGGCCTAACCACGATGGAGACCTACAACACGATTCCGAACGTGACAGTAACGAACAATAAATTTTATTTCGATGACAATGACGAAGAAATTACAATTCCCGAAGGATCGTACGAATTGGACGCCATTGCTTCTTATCTGAAACGCGCGATACTACAAAAACGAGGAAAAGGTGAAGAGCAAAATTATCCATTGTCACTTCGTTCCAACGTTAATACCATGATGAGTGAAATCATGTGCTCTTTCCGGATAAATTTCGCCAAACCGAATACCATCGGACCATTGTTGGGATTTTCGATGGGTCGTATACTGGAACCGAAAAAGTGGCACGAATCAGACTTATCGGTAAACATTGTCAACGTAAACATTATTCGAGTGGAATGCAGCATTACCGCGGGTGCGTACGCCAACGACAAGTCGGTGCACACGATACACGAATTTTCACCGAACATGCCTCCGAGATATAAAGTCTCGGAAACACCGGCGCAAATCATTTATCTTCCGGTCATCGCAAGGAGCGTTACCGATATCACTTTGCGTGTGGTGGATCAAGACGGACGATTGATCGATTTTCGCGGAGAGGAGATTACCATCAGACTGCACTTGCGGCGACGTGGTGCGAGGAAATGCTCGTGTTGAACGAACAGCGAGTGATTGAGAGAACAACGAAAATTGGGAAAACATCGCC